TTAAAGGAGAGGGCATTTCCTCCTAAGCTAGGTTTTGCCATGATATTCGCCACACCTACAAACAAAATATATATGTTCAAAGAAAACCAAACGATCAAATCACTTTATTATTTACTAAAAGGATATAAAATACAATGATGTACATACATCTCCTAATTAAATGAGAGTAACCTTGCTTACATGATAAAACAAGGATTAGAAGAGTTAGAAAGCAAATAATTGTCTTCATTGTCTTTTTTGGATAAGTTTCAATATTTTTTCAATGGAAAATATTAGATATGTTCTGCTAATCGCTTTAGTTGTGTAATTTCAAAGTTATCAAGTTAGATGCTGTCATATTTATATATCTTTTACTTATGTTACAGAATACTCTAATCGACGTTTTTTTTTATAAATGATCATTACAAAAATAACAATTCTTTCAATTACAGTTTAGATTTTAAAGTATTAAGTGCTAGTATTTATTATATTTAGTAATAGATCCCGACCAAAAACAAAAATTATATTTAGTAATAGATCGGTTATTACCGATTATTAAGATTATATAATCAGCTGTTAATTGATGAGTTAAACCGTAAGTAGAATATTAATTTACATAGACTAATTCACATTTCTTGGTTTAATTTATCGTTCAATGTAGAAACAATTTTTTCAAAGGTGGACACGTTCTAACGAATACTACATCTCGTATGGTTTTTACATAGTGCCGGATCCAAAAATGTTTTTAACCGGTGTCACTATATAAATTTCTTTGGAAACAAAATACTATTAACCGAACTATGAATAGAAAACTTAGATATAATGAGGTCGAATGACCAAAATTTACCAATTATGTTACTGATTCTTAAATTGGTGATAATGGCGGTAAACAATGAGGTCGGTGTGATCTAACCAATGGATGAGATTGGGAAGATTTGTAAAGAGCATAATGCTCTGTATAGATGAAAAAAAAAGAAGACAATCTAGGTTGAGCCACTGATGAATCCTCTGTATACTTAATGCTCTGTAGTCTGTATACATGAGCTATTTTGACAAATAACTTAGAACATGATTATCAATAGGTAATATAGTGGGTAAATAACAATTAAATCAATTTAATTAAATCAAAATTCATATTTACTATCCACTAAAATTCTAAATATAGAAAATATATAT